ATTAACATTTAGTGGGTAGGAGATTTGGATGAAAGAGAAAGCTAACATTTTTGGTGGAGAAGTTGGGCAATAATCTATTGGATCTGTATTAGCTTCACTATCTATATACACATACTCCTAAATATATACACATATATTTAACTATATACACATACATCTATTTATGTGTAATTAAAAATTTTTTTTTCCCTGTATTCCATTACCTTAATAACTTATATCATTTTTTGAACCCAATTGTATTCCTATTGTTGGGTATTTTTTTTTCCATTTTCCTAACCCCTTCTGTAAATACAAGGATATATAAGACGTCCTTGTTGAAAATTTCGAGTAAATTAAGACGTCCTTATTGAAAATATCGACTAATTCATAAATCACATCATCTCATATTTAAGCAAAGATATAAAAATGTCTGATTTTGAATCAAAAAATAACCCCATACGTCCCGAAAAGATTGATGAGGAATTCATAAACGAATCAACAGAAGGTAATCCAACTTCTGATAATATCGGAATCGACAAAAAACGTCGACAATCCATTACTCCTCTTTCCCATCAACCTAGACAAGTTGAAGCAAAAAAGGCCTCTGGCTATGATTTGAATAACAGTGATGAATTTGATTCATTTATTCTTAATAATTTTAAGCCGTTTTCAGGATCAGAAGAGGTAACCGATTGGTTAGGTAACACCGATAAAAAGTTTAATTTACATAAAATTCCACGTAAACTTCGCTATATTGCTATACCTTTACTTATTGAAGGAGATGCTAAAATAAAATACATTCTAAATAGAAATAACATAAAATCATTCGACGATTTTCTTGAATTTCTTTTGACTACTTATGATGTACCTGAACATAATACACGTCATTTTCAATCTAATCCATCATCGTATCCATCAAATCAAAATAATTTTGCACATAATTCAATAACACATAAAACTATATCTTTTGAAGATCAACAAAAAACTACCACGAATAATTTTGATCTAACTGATAATTCACCCCCATGTCCTATATTAAGATCAACTACAATCGTTGATATGGGTGCCACCAGACTAACTGGTGAAGTAACCGAAAATCGATCAAGCATTCCACCACCTTCTAACATCTCTTACCACACTTCTAATCTCGATCAAACTTCATCAACACCCCCTATGTCATCGAATTCACTCTTGCAGCCTCCAGTTTTACTGGAGGGCAGCAGTTCTTGGAGTAAAAGAGATGTCCATCTTTTTTCATTCATATCAATTACATTTATTCATACTCAACAATCCATACATCAACCCAATACTTCATCAGGTTCACTTTTTCAGCCTTCAGTTTTACTGAAAGGCAATAGTTTCGAAAGTAAACGAGCTATTAGTAATAATTTATATTATTCATACAATCGACCACAATCTGATCCTCATCAACTTTTTCTAAATTGTAATGAGGAAACAGGTCGAAATTACTTAGCAGGAGGTACCGAAGATGTAAAGCAATGGCTTAAAGGTGATGAGCAGCATAGTAATCAATTAGGTGATCAATCGTCATCAAGATCTTCCCAAGATAATCGATCATATTACTATGCAAACAATATTGCTTCTACGAATATACCAATCTTATTTGATTCAAAACCTCCATACCTCGTTTCTAAATATTGACCGGAGTCATCGAACGATGGTGTTGCCTCCGGAGACAAATCAAAAATCCATCAAAACAGACCTCTTTTTCCGCATTTTCATTTGTTGTATTTTTCTGTGTGTGTTTTTTCTGTTTTGTTATTGTAAAATCTAAGGATATGTAACTCTTCCTATGAATTTCTATCTTCTACCCTCTGTCCCTCGTTTCTTTTCCTTGGCTTAAAGTGCTGCAGATCCATGCCGACATAATTTGCAGGCGGGAGAAATTAACTGTTCACTTTTTCAAAAAGGTAAAAGATAATAATATAAAGACTTTCCTTTTCTTTTCTTTTGTTTATTTATCCTATGCGCCATCTCCATTTATATATCCTTCTCCTGTACCTTTTCCTCCGGTTAACGTGTTTTCTGTCCATGCCGACAAAATTTGCAGGCAGGAGAATTCGGGAATTCACATTTCCGCAAGTTAAAGGTCAAAGTATATAAAACTTCTTTCTTTTTTGAATTGTCCTAAGTTGTACTCCTTTATTTCTTTCTCATCTCTCACTTCATCTTTGGGTGTATCTAGTTAGCTTTTGTTCAAGCCGACACTCAGGTGCAGGCAGAAGTTCCCAAAAGTTCTCTTTTTTGCCCAAACGGTGAAGGTGTTAGCGTCAACAGATATTACATAGTTGCCGCTAACCTTTCTCTCT